CCGCTGTACAGGCGATGGAGATGAAGCGCTGCTGCACATTGAAGCGCCACTGCACAGCGACGAGCTCCACCGTGGTCTTCGAAGACAAGGAGATGCTACGGAGAGGGGAGAGAGAGGCAGAGAAAGGGGTGAGGGAGTTGAGAGCGATGAATTAGGGTTAGGATTTTGATATATTGCCTGAATTTTGAATAAATAAACTTTGAACCTGATTTTTAAAAAATTATCTTTAAATCCCTGATTTTTTATAATTTCCCTTAAACGTATATATCTCCTGTTTGATTTAACTAACAAAATTGATAAAAAAAAAAAAATTAAATCAAAATCAATAATTAATTTTATCAGATATATTATGTGAACCACAATTTTTTATCGATTTTTACCAAAATTGATTAAAAATATGATTTTTAACCAAACAAAATAGGAATTGTTTATAGCCTCAAAATTTAAGATCAATATTTTATATTTAAAATACACCAAGACTTGGTTAATTACTAACTCGATTATAAAATTGGCCGACGTTATTTTCACTATACCATTCTTCCAAGATAATAGCAAAAAAATGCCACGTGTGACATTCCACCTTCTTGCACTTCAATTACATCATTAAAATTTCTAAATCCAAAAACAAAAAACAATAAAGAAAAAGACATCTTCTTTTATTTTTCTTAACATGTCAAAATCAATAGAAAAATTATTTAATCAATTATTCGTGAACGATAATATAGATTAGGGAAAATTGCAGCTCGGGTATCAAAACTTTCATTTAGTTGTAGACTTTGTCCAAACTTTTCATTTGTGTCAACTACGATATCAAACATTTCAAAAATTATCACATAGAGTCTTAATGGATGGAAATCGTTAATTTGACCGTTAGTTGACCAGAGCAATTGATTTTGACCAAATATAAAAATGGTAAGATGGTAACTTTATAATTTTAATAAAAAATAAATTTAAATTTAAATTAAAAAACCTAGATCTTTATCACACATGCCTATACTCACATCGCCATTGTGGCATTGGTTTAGTAATTTCAAGGTATTTTTATTGTGCTGAAATTCAAAAGGGAACGAATGAGCTGAGCTGAGTTGAGATGAGATCGAGAAAGACAGCTTCTACGAAGCACAAAACCACCAAATTCATGTTTCTTCTTATACGTATATCTACTTTGGGCTTCTTCTTATTCGTTTGGGATTCCTTTTCTTCATAGATTTGCTCATTTTCCATTGTAGATCTGCTTTGGGATTCCTCCTCTGTCTTCCAAAGTTTATCGATCAATCACATCCAATTGGCCTCGACAAGATTCCAAAACTTTCATAATTGTGCGCAGCGGTGCTCACCACGTGTTAGATATCTAAAATGGAGTATGCACTAGTTTGCGACAATGACACAGTTATAAAATCGGAGTTGGATACGTGAGTCTTGATTTCTCCTAAAGCCTCCGAGAAATTGGTTTTTGCTACTTGCTTCATCCACCACTGATTCTGATAGCGACTGAGGTGGTGGTGGTTGACGTCGATCGACAAAATTTTAGTGCATAAAAGGTGGTGGTCGAGGTTCGTTTTGAGTCTCCGTCGACGATGTGAACTTTGGGCGGAGATGATACTACAAGGGCTTATTTTTTCCTTTTTAATTTAAAATTTTATTTATTTTTTATTACAATTATAAAGTTATCATTTTACCATTTTTATATTTTGTCAAAATTAATTGTTTTGGTCAACTAACGGTCAAATTAATGATTTCCATCCATTTGGACTCAATGTGCTAATTTTTTAAAGGTTTGATATCATAGTTGGCATAAATAAAAAATTTATGTAAAGTCTACAACTAAATAAAAAATTTCGTATTGTGGCTGCAATTTTTGGTATAGATTATCACGTAAGACGTGTGCATCACAATAACCCAATTCTACAATCGTGATTGTGAGATTGTCGTCTCCTTGATGTGATAGGGTTATGTTGAAGTAGGACCCAGATAGAAGATCAACCAATGGAAATTAACCACGTTTATTACAAATACAGTAGAATGGGCTCCTCCAAAACAAAAGACGAAAACATTTTTGGCATGAAGCCCTTCATCTATTTGATAATTTGAAGATTGCCCTTTTAGCTTTTGTAAATTTCAGACTGGTCCATAAAAGTGTAGAGATACTCTATGAATTTGTTTTTTCTTGGACCTAGCTATTGTCAAGATAGTTAAACCGTGAATTTTCAGTTTTAAATAGAAAAATGCTAGATGTACATCAAGATCTATATCCTCTTACATTGAGAAGTCCACTCGAATAAAATATTCGAGTAGACCCCTTACCCATGTGAAAGGGGTGTACACCGTGATGTACACCCCGATNAGGGGTGTACACCGTGATGTACACCCCGATGTACCACTAGCATGACTCTTTTATATATATTTGTTTTATGGTGCTCTATATTCCTTGTGCCAACTTTGTTAGCATAGTGGGTACCATATTTTCTGTATTCGTTCTGATTTCTTGAACACTTTGGAAAGCACCATTTTTATAGAGATAAACACGTTAGTATATCTTCTTAACCCGAAATGAAGCGGCAAGAGAGGGAAGAGGAAATGTTCCTATTTTTTAGGGTACTCCCAAAAACATATTTAATGGAGATGGCGTGGAGCATGTAGCTTCGATAATTAGAGTACGTGATTAGAAATCACGGTGTCGAGGGTTCGAATCCCTCCTCGTCCACAATCGACCCAAAGGGAAGTACATTTCTCTCTGGGAATAGGAAAATCATGATCGAGATAGAAATTCTCGAACCATTTAGGATGGAATATTTTGTAATTCCTAATTCAAATAGATATTTTCCCTTGGTAGATCAACAAATAAAATAAATGTACTCAATTTTAATTAACAAGAAACTAGGGGTTAATATAACATTTATCAAAAAGAAAGTCCAACACTTTGACCATCAATTATGATATTTATCAACGTTAATCAATTTACAGTTTGTTCGTGAACTCTCTCCTATAGTATTACAAGAAATGTATGGCTCATATTTCTTGATCACCCCATGATTGCAAACCTGATTAAGACTTTGCTTATCCCCTTTTCTTCTTCCTTCCGTTGATCTCTTGCAACTACTTGATCATAACTAATAATCACACGTCTCCATGTTGAACAATCAAAGAGCCATTGCCAGTACGAGCTGGAACGATGAAGAAGATAATGATCAAGACGAACATATTAGAGAAATCCATGCACTAACCCCATCTCGTCTACAGCCTCCACCTCCTCGGAGAGAGATTTCTTGGGAAACAAGTAGCCACAGATCATCAAATCTGTCCGTGACCAGCAGTACTGAAATTGAAAATTTCACCACCATAAGTAGAGAATTCAATGCTTTAGTTCTTGCCGGATCCTCCATCAGGAACAGCAATAGCCAGCCGGAAAACGACGTTCCCGTGGCGGCGAATAGTGTTAGCAATTTGGGGAGGATCCGTGAGGAGGAAGTGCCAGAGGAAACGAACCCTTTGGCTATTGTGCCCGATAATAATCCTCTGGACATTCCTGTCCCAGTCCAATCGCCCCAAGGTAACGTTAACCATCTCGTCTAAAAGCATCAGACTGAAAGTTTAAGCTGTTAGGAAGAGGCTACTCGTGTTCACTTAAATCTTATCTTTGACAGGTAATCAAAGGGAATTGTCTGTGCAAAGTGTGAAGAAAGAAGAGGTAGAATCGAAGATTAACGCATGGCAGAATGCAAAGATTGCGAAGATTAATAATAGGTTTAAGAGAGAGGATGCTGTGATCACTGGTTTGGAGAGTGAGGAAGTGCAGAAGGCTACTTCTTGGATGAAGAAAATTGAGGTATAACCCATTGGTGTAAATCAGATTTTTAGTATATTTTGATAAACGTCGATGAAATATGTGGTTACACTTGATTGTTGACCTTGAATTAGGATTTTTATTAACTTTTAATCTACACCAAACATAGACTTAATTTGTTAAAACTTTTTTCCTATGTTTTGTTTGGTACTGGTATTATCTTGATTCATACTCGTACGCAGAGGAAGCTGGCGGAGAAAAGAGCAAAAGCCCTTGAGAAAATGCAAAATGATATAGCCAAAGCACACAGAAAAGCAGAAGAAAAAAGGGCATCAGCAGAGGCTAAAAGAGGAACAAAAGTGGCCAGGGTTCTTGAAATTGCCAGCTTGATGAGGGCAGTAGGACGACCTCCGATTAAGCGTTCCTTCTTCTAAACTCTCCATATACAAGAATTCAGAATTTTGTTGGTTGTTTTATTGAGTATTGTCTAATATCGTGCATTTATACGAGTACCGTACATGGAAGGGTGGCATTGAATGTATAAAATATTGGGCTATGAAATGTCACAATTGCTATAATTTTGGTTGTTGTAATAAATCTTCACCAACAGTGGTGGGATTCCGAAGGTTTTATGGTTGGAAGTGTTGATTATGAAACAATTAGATTTTGAATGTTTTAAGTAGGGATGTAAGCGGTCCGATTTTATCGATTTTTTACAGATTTTCAAATCAAACCGTTTAAACTTGTTTGATAAAAACTCAAACATAAACCAAACCATTTTGAACGGTTTGAAAAAAATTCAAACCTAAACCTAACGGTTTGGTTCGGTTTTAAACCGTTGGTTCCGTTGTACATTTTTTTGTCTGTCTACTTTTATGCCATTAATTCATTGAATTCAATATATATTTATATCTTACTAGCAATCTAAAACTACTAAATATATTTACTATAAATTTAAATATTAACTAAATCCAAGTGAAATCATAATAATAATTTTTTGTTCACCATTTTTAGGTTAAAACGTTACGATAACGTTCAATACAAGTCTAATAAACTAAATATAAGACCCAAAATACCTATAAACTAAATATTTATTTGAAAACATATAGTTTCATAATACAACTACTGAGATATCAATAAGGCAACACCTTAAATGATAAATTTTACGCTTGCTAAATCAAAATTCAAGACTTTAATAGGTTAACTGAATAGATATCATCCTTATTAATTCAAAACATTTAAAAAAAACATTTTAACAAAATATCTAAGCATACAATAAAATACAACAATTAAATTGATGTAAGTATAGTTGCCACTTGAATCATTGTTAGTTTATTTTAGTTTATTAAACAGCTCATCTACATATCAACTTGCACATGAACACTTTTTAGCTTCTATTGACATAGTTTATCATGTCTAATTCAGTCACAAAGGAAGAGTATGTCCACACAAATAGAATAGAATCATGTACATAATAGATAAATCATTTCCATTAAAGTGAATAAATTTATTTTACAATCATCCAATAGTTGAAAAAAATGCGAAACTCATATAATTTCAGATTTCTTACCTCAGTTTGCTCAAAAAAATTATTGATTTGAAACTTTGTTCGTAGCAAATAATATCACCGAAGATCCAGGATCTCTTTGTCTTCGATTTGGTGTGGTGCTTGTGCCTCAAGATTGTGTCGGGTGTCTGCTGAAATTAATCTGAATTCTGAAGAGGAAAATGACTTTTGATATATTATGTTAGTGTTGAGATTATTAGATATAAATTAGGATTATTGTGTAATAATAATATATATGTAATAGAAAATTAGAAATTAACAAAACTACTCACAATGACAAAACTATTGAATTTTGCATATTTGGATTTTTCAGAAATTTTCATTTTTTTTATTTTTATATATTTTTTCGCTGGTCCGATTTGGTTTTGAATCGCAATTAAAATTCTCAAACCTAAACTAAACCCTTTTTGGCCGATTTTTTTGATCAGTTTGATTTGGTTCTGTTGGGAGGAGATCAACCAATTAGCTCAAGATCAAATGCATAAATGTAAATCAATATACATCAACAATCAGAGACTGAAAACTTAAGAACATTAAACAGCAAACTTAAACCAGAAACCAACACAAGAAAATTACTGAAAACCGAAACAAAAATAAGTGCAGAAACTTATCTTCATTATAAAGCCCACAGGCAGAGGTTTCATACACTCCTTAGTTCAAAACACTCAAGAATGAACCACCAGAATACTCGAATCAAAACCCAATGTACAGATTACAAAGATCGACACTCAGACAAGCCCTAAATATCATAAACGGAACTCTCTTTCACTAACAACACGACTCACTCAAGAATCAGTACTCAATACAGGTAAATCACTCAAGATTACAAGCTATTGAAAGGAAACCAGAAATCAAAATGAGATTATTTGATTTCAACAGTGAGAGAACAGAGAGAACACGAAGAAACGGCGTAGAGAGAGTGAGAGGTAATAGAAGAGTCTCGAAGATCAGAGTGACACTTCAAACCCTAGAAAATGGCTTTTAAATGGGTCACCTAACAGTTTCCAATCCAACAGAGTTGGAGGCAATACGTGGCGACATCACAGCCATCCAATTCTTCTGGTAAGTGAAACACGATTTCAGGTTCTCCTACTTCACGCTTTCTATCCATTTAAGAAAACACAGGCTGAGCTTAATAATATAAACCAGCTTGGCCAATTTCAACAGGCCCAAGGGCATTGCATCATAGTGCCAATATTCTCCTCAGGTTCAAAACTATTTCATTGACGGGTCCACGTGGCACCAAACCGACGATTTCTAAAATGCGGTTTCGATTCGATTTTCCAATTTAACAATTTTTGCTTACCGCCCTAGTTTTACGAGATCAATTCCTTTTATTGGGTAGTCAAATTTTAAGAAATCCATCTTATGTTAATTGTCATTTCTCCTAAAATAATATTATTTTTCATGAAAAATATGTTCTTGAACCAGGTTGTTCGGTACTTGAACAATGCTAACCTAATAATAAGTAATATAATGATGAATAAAATTCGAACCCAGGATAACGAATTATCTATATATTTCACTTTTATTAAAACTAACTCTTTGTATATCACTTGATGAGTCTTGAAAATTGGTCCGCGTGACCAAAAATTGCCCTTATACGTATACATTTTTACTTTTCAACTGTTAATCGCACACAGTTCCCTGAACTTCAAACCATCTTTCCATACAAGCCCTTGAACTATTATTTTCATATATTTTGATCCTTAAACTTTACAAAGCATTATATTTGGTCTCCACAATTTATGAAATCTTCCGATCTTTCAATTAACTTTGAAAGTCCGTTCAGTCCAATACTTTCTAGCTTCTATCCAACACAATCTTTTTTATCCAATTAATGCTTCAAATCACTTATTTTTCTTAATTTATCTTCAAATTGGGGATTTTTTAGTCAAGAAAAGTTGAAAACAACAAAAAAGTGAGTAGAAACTCATTCAATTAATCAACTTTTATGTAAATTTAGAAACTCAAATAAACATTTATCAGTCCCCAACCTTGTCTTTCACTTTCTTCTCCAACCTTTTTTTAACATCCACATCCTTGATTTTTGATATATTTATCAAATGTTGAAAAAAAATGAATTTTTAAAAAAAAATTATTTGAAGTCCTTGTTTGATGATCATTATTTTGAGAAATTAGAGTTTTGAACAGTGATATTTTCGAGAATGTGTGGCTAAAAAATAAGGAAAAATTTTGAATTTATATAAAAAATATTTTATTGTATAAACATGTGTATGAAAATTAAAAAGTTTATATATATATATATAAACTAGTAATACAGTGCAGTAAGTTTTAGGCTCATTGGGCTCTAAAATTGATTTTTGTCCAATTAACTTAGGGAAAAATTTCATACCTAAGAAATTAAGAATTGACCCATTTCAAAACTAAAAAACGAGATTTCAAACTTAAAAAATCAGATCTTAATTAAATTTTATTTATAATATAATTGATTAAAAATATATTTTATTAATTAAATATATTAACGTCACAATTCTATACAATTTGATCACACATTATCGAATTAATTGATCATAAATTATTTCTCCATTATAGATAAAAAAATTTATAGGTCACAAATCAAAAATTTTATAAGTTACAATTTATTCATCAATCACGAATCAAAAATTTTATAGGCCACAATTTATTTACCCGTCATAAATCATAAATTTTATAAATTACAATTTATTTAAATATCACAAATTATCATATTATTTGTTCAAAAGTTATTTCTCGATCACAATTACATTTTTTATTGGTCACAATCAAGCAAATAATTAATCACAAATACTCACATCACATCACATCTCATTCTATCTTGTCTCCCCAACGACCACGACTACCACTTCACAACCACCGTAGCTAACATCACAACTACAACCAACACCACGACTCAAATGTTTTAGATAACATATTATTTATTGGTCACAAATTATCGACGACTTATTATTTATTGGTCACATAATATTCAATTTATTGGTCACAATCTCAAATTATTGGTTACGTATTATTTATTGATCATAAATGAATTGATCACAACCAATCAAATAATTAGCCACAAACACCCACCCCACCCTACACCATTCCACCAATAGTGTAGTGCCTTTTCGAGCCGCGCCCAGTGACTTTCACAAGCCGCTTCGCGCAACGGTGGTGAGCGACATTGACTCTGCCAACAGATAGAGATGGAGGAGGAAGAGGAGAGGGAGAGAGAGAGTAGAAGCGGTGGTGGCACGCGGCAGCGGTGCTGGGTACTGGCCACTTCTTGCGATGTTGGCATGTGGCTACACCGTCGATAGAGGAATGGAAAAAGAGAGGGGAGAGAAAGAAGAGAGAGTATGAGATGAGAGAATAGAGAGGTAAGGTGTTTAGAGAGAGAAATAAGGGATATATATATATAGGGTTTGAAATTGTGTAGAGTTGATTAATTAATTTTATCATATTATTATTAATATTAAAAGTTTGAATTAAGATTTAATTTTTGTATAACTGGTTGCATCATGCATGTAATTTCCATTTAACTTGGTTTACTCATGTAATTTCCATTTAACTAGGTTTACTGATTTATGCATTAATAAAATTTGTTTATTGAAATAAATCATACTATAAAAATCTAAAATAGCACTAAACTTACCTCCTTTTTCTAATTTTCACTTAAACTCTTTCTTTACTATGCATACCTTTTTTCCCATTAGAGGTGATAAAAAAATTCAATTAAAACCTTTTTTTTTTTTTTTTGTATAAAATAAACAAAGGGAATTCTTTTAATTAACTTCACATAATCCAAAACAATAAGAAATATGCCAAATGAGAAATTCTCCAATGAAAAATTTTAAATTAATTGATTTACAAATAATATCCAAATAC